TCCTGCCTTTTCCGCAACTAACTTCCATATCGCGTAAAAAGTTAATACTTTACTCAACAGGACTTAGTAGTTGCTTGCATCATGTATTGTTGTAACTCGCAGAATAGGATAGGCCAAAACATCAATAATTTTTTTTTGTTTAAATATTTGTCCGAAATGATATACGACGTTAGAAAATCGAGGCTCGTTTGCCAAGTGCAATTCCCAAGCTCCTCCAATCTGGCCGAAATGCCTGCTCCACTCTCGCCTGGCTGTCAGTAATGCGTGTCGTTTTATTTTAGCCGGTCCAGATTAGATCACAGCATCAGTACTTTGGCGATTTGCCTTACGTCATTAGTTATCTCGCCTGAACAAAAGTTTATCGTGATCACTAGCATTCCATGTCTTCAATAATGAGCAAATCGGAATGTTTCCCAAATAAATCCATAAATGAACTTTCCTTTCTAAAATTTTCATTCAACTTTAAAATTCAAAGTTGTTCTTTTCAAATTTTCAGCACTATTCATCCCCTAAGCAAAATTTTTAACAGAAGGGATGACCAACGAGTCAGGGTAATTGTTTTCTAAAATAATCCGCATCGATGATTTTTTCACTAGAGGTTCTCCGTAGCGTTAAGCTGCATGCCCAGTAGGGTTTCCAGGCCATCTTGTTCAGACTCAGTTCTTCTAAGAACTGCTTCTCTTTTCGTGGCTTGGGAACCAATTAATGCAACACTGTTTCATTTTCTAGTGCTTGTTTTGAAATGCCTGTGTTTGACAGAATCCTGGCGAGTGTTGATTGTTGCTTTAGTAGGCTCATGAAGTCTATGATAAGCAATCCCGGCATTACGGAAATTTCCCCATTCATCAATTCGTAAGCAATTTCTGTATATTCCCAAATCACTGGCGACGCGCACTGGGGGCCCCGTGCGATCATGCGTTTTTGCAGTGTTTCGTGCTGTAATATGATTACTCGAAATTCCGCTAGCTAAAACCTCTTGTAAATACTGATCCTCGAATTTCGGGAACTTAATTATCCATGCTATAGTAGGACAGGGAACATTCCCTTGGAATCCCAGGTTCCCAGCTTCCTCAGTTTCCGAGTTACCGAAATTGCAACTAAAAAATTTCACGGGGCCGTGCGTAGCCACCACGCATAACGGGGGGCTGAATTTGATAAGTTGAAGTTGTAGATGAGTTGAGAACGTTTCCTGAAAATTTCAGCCTCCCAGCTTCCCTGGTTCTAGAGTTATTCATTTTCCCGTCAAAAATTTTCATGGGGCCGTAAGTGGCAACCACGCATGGCGGAGGGCTGAATTTGATAAACTGAAGTTGTAGATGAGTTTTGAACATTTCCTGAAAATTTCAGCCTCCCAGCTTCTCTGGTTCTGGAGTTATTCAT